AGCCCCACCCCAGGGTTTCTGATTCAGTACCTCTGGGCCGGGGCCTCAGAATCTGCATTTCTAACAAGCTCCCAGGGGCTGCTGCTGCTGGCCCAGGTACTACACTTTAAATATCGCTGGCCCAAGGATTCTGGGTTTTGAAGCTCAAATAATTTATCCCTGGGGCAGCTCCTCACCGTCAAGGCCTACCTGCTTGGCAGCAACAGGGTGAGCCAGTGGCACCCATTGGAATTTTCCTACAGGATAATCCTGAAATTCCCAATTCAGAGCCTTATTCCTTTAGGTTAGACTTTGGACCATATTAAAATGCAAATGTTCGTTGGAGGAGAATCGGGAGTTCATTTGACAAACATTTGTTGAGCATATTCTACACACCAGGCACTGAACTGAACTCTGGGGGTTTGAAAATAATAGACAAAGTCCATTACATAGATAGGGCAAACCCTGCAGGAGCTTATACTGGGGGGAGGCAGTTGGGCAAATCAATATTTACAGTTCTGGAGAATTAAGGAATAATGATATCTACTTTAAAATAATGACCAGGCACTGTTAAAAGATGGACTATAGAGGAGGTATCAGGAGGGGAGTGAAGGGGGTCAGGCGGGAGACCGCTTCAGGGTGATGGGTCAGTGAGGGCTTGCCAGCCCAGAGACTCAGCTGAGCCTTCAAGGGCAAGATCATCTCGCCTGTGTGGAGAGGCTTAGAAAGGCAGAAAGGGGAGAAAACATGAAGTCGCTGAATGCCTGAATAGGACAAGGAAGGGGAATGCCAACGAAGAACCGAGGCCAGAGAAATAACTGGGAATGACTACTTCAAAATTCTGCCTGGGTTCTGCACTGGAAGGAACTAACTGGGGTGGGATAGACTGGAAATAAAACTGAAGCACAAATCAAAAGTGAGAAAATGGAAGCACAGCAAAGCATTGGGAGAAACTTAAACAGAAAGAACCAGAAAATAACATAAGCAGGAGACTCTGCTTCTCAATGCAGCCCAGAAACTTCTGGGAAAGATAAATGGTGCCTTGCACAAATCAGGCCCATGCCGGCATATGTGGGACCTTTTTGAGAATTAGATAAAGGTTCTCTTTCCACACAGACACATTTAACAGAGGCCCCTCTGGGCAGATGAACTAGAAAATGCCTTCCTTTCCTCCTCACTCATCCAGGGCCCTGGGGAATGGAACCAGCGGCTGCATTTCCACCAAGCCCTCAAACCAAGTAGGCTCCTGTCAATGCTCCAGTGTATGCAGGCTACATATCACACCCAGGGTGACTGCTGGGGCCCTAAAAGTGTTTCATTCGCTTCTAGGTTAGTAGCAGCTGGAGGAAGAAAGCAGGCTTCAGGTCTTTGTAGTAACACTGTGGGATTTGTACTTGGGAAAATTCCGTGTGGGTTCCCTTCTGCTGCAAAATAAGGCAGTCTGAGAAATGAGGGATGCTCCAGATAAGTAGCCCCGAGTGCCCCAGGCAGTCAGCTCTTTGATCCCTAAGGCACCGACCTGCTTTCAGAAGCTACTGCTGGAGCAGATCTACCCCAGGCACAATCCTGGTCATTGATGTAGACCTACTGCGGACAGTGAGGAGGGCTGAAAGTGGATTTATTCAATAAATATTTATACAGCAACTCCTCCTTTCCTTACCTTGCACTGGGACAGCACTTTACAAAGTATATTTATGTCTCCTCTGTGATCTGTCCTTCGTGACAGCAACTGTGTAATGTAGGTAGGAACTATTATCAACATTTTACAGATGAAGAAACTGGATCTCAGAGAAATTGACTTACCCAAGGTCGTATGAAGGGAGCTTGGCAAAACAAGAACTAGAAGCTGGCTCTTAGGAAGGGTACTTTCCACCGTTTCAGAAAGTGCTGTATTGGCTGATACAAGAAACGCAAAAGCCCCTAGGATAGTGTCATCAATAGAAATATGTCAGCGACATATAATTCTGAATTTTGAGGGGCTAAAAAGAAGCAAGTGAGCTTAATTTTAATAATAATATTTAATCCAATTTGTTAAAAATATTATCTGTTCACCAGTAGTAAATATGAAACAATGTTAATCAGATATTTTCACATTATTTTTTTCATACTAAGTCTTTAAAATCAGTGTGTATTTCACACAGAGCACATCTCGGTTAGGATGCTGCATTTTCATTGGAAATACTTCATCTATATTTAGATTTCATAAAGTTTATAACTGAAAAGTAGATTCATGTATTCAAGTCGATCCAAGCATACTTTAAAAGTTTTCCAATAAGTAAATTGAGGATCAGTTTTTAAGTTAAATTTACATTAATTAAGAATAAGTAAAATTTTTAAATTTAATTCCTCAGTGGCACTAGCCACAATTCAAATGCTCAACAGCCACATGTGACTAGTGGCTTCTGCATTGGAAAGTGAAGTCCTAACACACAGCCCTTCCTCCCAGGAGCCTGCAGTCTGGTAGATCCAGTATGGAATTTGGTCTATGTATTAGCATAGTTTAGTCTTGTCCCTTGATAATCATGTTAAAAGTTGGTCTTCTCCATCCTTACCCATCATTGCCCATCTCCTTTGGTGGCCTCCCCTAACCTAATTCAAATCTGCTCTCTCTTCCTCATTCCCACAGCTGCTTGCCTGTACCCACTCCAGAAGATGGAGATTGTGATGACCCAAGGGAGGCAGCGTCTTTGATAATAGTAGCTCTTTAACTTTTAGGATAGAAACAGAGTACAAGCTGGGGGAAAGAGTGGGTTCATGAGAGGTTAGGATAGCAATATATTTAGGTTCAATATGATGCATCTTCTTTTCCTTCTGGAACATCTTTGACTTACACAAGACTCTGGCCATCAGAAAGCTTGGCTCCTCATCTTTTAAAAGCAAGTTCATTTTGATAGAGTCTGACCATCTAAATTCTGGTTGGATTTTCATAGTAACCAGAAATGGCAATCTGCTTCTCCCAGGAGAAAAAAAACTCTTCCTATCTAAAAGTATAAGCAAAAGCATACCCCACTCCCTGGCCGGGGTTGAGAGCATTGTTTCCTGTATGGTTTTTAGGAATAATTGTGTAATTATTCATTTGCCGTCTATGCATAAATACATGTTTGCCCGTTTCTTTTCCTACACGTGGAGCCTTGGCAACGACTGTGCTGCCTTTGAGGATGAGCGTCTCCTGCATCTTGCTGTCCTATAACCCTATCAGACCGTGGACCATAGGACTCAGGGACTGTATGATATATTTTGAAAATATGAACTAGATGTGTCCAACCTATCGTTTTAAATCTCATTATAATAAGTGCCTCAGCTCTACTGAATACACCAGCAGAAATGTTTCCTTGTCCCTTGCTTCTCTCATCCTTTGTTCTCCATGGGGGTTGGAGGTGGGGGTTGAGGTAATGAGGGGGCAGGTCCAGGCTGGTCTGTGAAATCTGACCCAGAGTAAATTTGGTTATTAAACTCGTCTTCTTACACTCCCTAAGTTCAGCTAGTTGATGTTAGCTGCTGGGAACACAAAGCTGCCAAACAGACAAGCAGGAGCCTGCCTGTCCCCTCAAATATTTTACAATTGGAGTTAGGTATGTGTCATAGCTTTCAAGGTTGCCAATTTCCTTAAATGCACATACAATTATAACTCATTCAAACACTTCCACTAACAAGTGAAAGAAGTATTGAGATGAAGTAGCATTTCCCAATAGTCTCCAGAGATGTCCTGCTAAATAAATGTTCCACGATCAGATAAGCCTGAGCGAGGCCATTGCTTCTCTTCCCCCGTTAGAGACTCAACTCAAGGCCAAAAAATGCCCTATTTCAAGGAAACCTGTTGAGCTTGGCTTACCTGAAGTTAACTAAACTTTATTGATTCGGGGACCTACTTTTTCAGGGAACACTTGTGAACCACTCAAGAATTATTGCTCTCTGAACTTATTTGGTACATGCCAATTTTAAATAATCTACTTCCATTCTCCATTAACATTCTCAGTTATAAATTTTTTAGAAGGACATCAAGGCTAAGCAAGTATCTAAGGTAGCTTGTTGCATATACAATTTATGAAAATGATCAACTTCTGGTATTTAGTCCTTTCTTCATACTTGACCCAATAATGTTAAATTTTTAACATTTTAATAATTTCATAATTCTTGAAAATATTAAAAGAAACTAATATGCTGATTTTAGAAATCTGAATTTATTAATTATATTTTTGCTGTAGATATGTGATTTAACTCCAGTATTCCATACAACAGGACATTTTTAGGTTGTGACTCCATTAAAAGCCAAACTGAACTAAACTAAAACTAACTTGCGTTCATTCATTTAGTCAGTGAGTCAATCATCAGTTAAATCAGTCAATACATATTTTTATAGGACTAATAGCCATGAACTAGGGCACTAGAGATATGGAAATGAAATATACAAATAGTCCTTACCCTCTGAGTGCTTACAGTGTAGAGGGTCGAGGGGAATACTATCATTAAGTAAGTAACAACAGTAGAGAAAAAGTATGAGAGACCTAAGAATAAATATCAGGAGGCTTCTACCTATCCATCTCTAAGTTCAAATCCCTGTAAACTAGAAAGGATGTAAAGAATAAGGAGCCCACATTTCATCCAAAATGACATATCCTTATTACATAGGAGAGATACATCCCAAATAATTGTTTATAGCATTTCCAACAATGAAATCAATGGTCTAAATGTGAAATTAATTGGAAACCGCAGTTCTAATACACTGTTTTGGCGATTAAGCACATTAGATTGAATTGTTTCAGAATGCCTAATTATTGTGACTGCCACACTCATCTGTTTGAGTCATTCCTAACTTTTGGACTGCTGCCTAGATCATTTCTGCAATCCAGTTGCAGTTTCGTCCTCTCTCTCTTTTTTAAATGCATAACTTTCCTCGCTATACTTAAATTCAAAGCTCTAAACTGCACTTTGGCAAATTCTAGATAAGAGCTAAATAGTTTATTAAAGTGTTGATTCCATTGAGTTTGGATGTAAGTTGATATTTTATTTGTGTTTTGCAGGTTCATGATTTAAAAGTGCCTGTGTGAAGTCACTTTTGCTGGAAACTGTAGCCCAGGAGAACTTGTCGTGTTCAAATCTTGCTTTTCTGTCAAATACACCGTTACCCTGACCTTACGAGTGGATGAAGATACCTCAATTGTCTGACTTTGCCAACTGCTTGATTTCAGAATTTTAAAAGGTGGAAGGAAAAAGAAATCCTGCTAAGATCTGAACATCTAAGTGGCTTATTTTCCATCATCATCAATAGCTGTGAGCATCAGAACTAAATCTTCTCCCAAGGAGTGCCATGATCTTGAAGTCACTTTATTAAAAACAGTTGTATCTGCAAAACAGTCAAGAGACTGGGACGTTTACAGCCAGAGATGACACTGAGCATGCTTTTATTGCGGCCCTCAGTCTTCAAGTGGGGCATATTGATTGATGAGTGACTGCCCGCTGATCAATTCTCTCCTTACTCTGTTTCCTGGATTGGACTTCATTAAGTAATTTATCACTTACCTTCAGACTTACATGTGGGATTTTTCACAGTAGCTTTGGAATCATTGGAACTTGGATTGATTTCATCATTTAACAGAAACTAATAGAATCCAAATTACTTTGTCATCATGGCTTTGAATGTTGCCCCAGTCAGAGATACAAAATGGCTGACATTGGAAGTCTGCAGACAGTTCCAAAGAGGAACGTGTTCACGCTCCGATGAGGAATGCAAATTTGCTCACCCCCCAAAAAGTTGCCAGGTTGAAAATGGAAGAGTAATTGCCTGCTTTGATTCCCTAAAGGTAAGATAATGCATCTTATATGTCATGTCAATGCCACATTGGACTTTCAAAGGAAATGTTTTTCATTATACTTGTCCAGAAGTTTAACAATTGTTTTTAGATTCTGTTGTCTTGTTTGTGGTGACTATTGGGAGATTTTCACTCAAATTTTTTCCTATCGGACATATATAAATTTTTTACAGATTCATGTTTGAATTAAAAATACATGATGGTGTATTTTTGTTCTGGTGTGACATTCATGTACCCAAGAGTTTTAAATCAAAGTCTGGCTTGTGACAACTGAAGATAAATATTTTATTAACGTTTGATCTTCTGGAGGTTATATAAAGGTGAAGAAATTGAGTGTGTCGCTTTTATGTGCCAGTTACTCTGATGCCCCTTTCGAAGAATTTTCTACTGTATGGCTCTCTTTCTTGACTAAGGGCTGCCTAAAATACTTCTTAATAGATTTTTCATTCTGTTTGACAATTTCTCATGGCTAACAGAAATTACTGAGTGCACAATACTCCTTGAGAACCTACTATGTATAAGTCAACACATAACACATCACAGAAGAAATGAATGTGATTCGACAGTATCCTTGATGAGCTCACTGTCTGGTGTGAATCAGCAAACAACTATAATGCAAGACAGAAAGAGACATGTGCCTTAAGGGAGGACTGGAGAGAAGATTTCTGTGGGGGTCCATAGAAGGGAGAGCTGGGGTCCAACTGACTGTTTCAAGAAATGTTTTGGAAGCTGTGGCACCTGGGTTGTATACTGAGTTGGGTGGAGTTGGATTTGAAGAAATGGGGGGATTATAATGAAAGATCTAACTGAAGAAAATGGGGGTGACTTAGCTCATAATTCTTTGAGGTTTATTTTGCCCTGAAATTATGGATTCTGTGAATCCCAGGTTGTCTGGGACAGTCCTAACATCATCAGGATATTGTTTTCAATGGAGATAAGTAAGAATCATAACTAAAAAAGAGCTTAACATTTACATCTCTGCAAAACTTGGTATAAATAAGCTTACCAAACACTAAAAAAAAAAAAAAAGTTGACCCATGCTCTTGATATATGATTTGGGAAATCAAAGTGCTGTGAGTTTACAAAATAGTGACCTTAGCGTATTCTTGGGTATTAAAGGGACTGGGTATGTTTTTTGGAAAAATTTCATCTTAAAGTAAAAAATTATGTCTTATAAGCCTTATAAGTCAAAATTGAAATATAAGACTTTAAATCATATATTTAAGTATATCTTAAAAGGAAAATTTGTCTATACACTGAAAGCAGAAGAATTCGTCTATAGCCCAACAGAAGTCTTTTAAAGGCTAAAATTTGAAAAATTAAATATGCTATTTACCTCAGTAACTACCTCTATTTTATTCCTTTTTTCTCATAGAAAGTTTATTAGATAAGACTTTAAAATTATGAATCGTTTTGTCTACACAGAAATGAATAGATAGGTAAATCACAATTTATATAAACTATAACAGTATAAGCACATTTTTATGTTAGTATTTATTTTGCTTTTAGTCAAAAAAGTAAACTAAGTATGTAGTTGCTTCTATGACTGTCACCAAGGGAAGGATTCACTATAAAAAGCAGTGTAGATTAAAAACTAGATCATAAGAACTTCAAGATATGGAAACAGGTCAGAGAAGAGAAATTCATTTTCCAGGTCATCCTCAATTCCTTCATTTTATTAATCCAAGCCTTCTTTGGTTGGATATTTACTATTAAACCAACATTTTAGCAAGTTTCTTAAAACTTTCAATTCTTTCTAGTTAGGAAAATATGCCTGACCTGTTAAGACGAAGTATTTCTTGAATATCAACAGGACAACAACTCCCAGATCCTTACAATTCATTACCTCGCTGTGGATTCACCAGAACCACAATTGTTTGAGGATTCCAACCCACAGAAAAAGAATCAAGGACGGTTATGTTTAGTATAAAAACAGGAACCAAGCCCTGAGAATGTTGAGCACAGTTCAAATGAAAGGGAGCTTTACAAATCATCATCAGAAGCGTCAAGTAGGGCCATTTTCAAATGTTGAAGCATAGTTATATATTGCCTCAAATTATCAGTTGCCTTTTAAAATTGTAAATTTGAAGTTATTTAATTTGAGTGTGATGTTACATATTTTTTAAGTTGTCAAACTGTAAAGAATGTGAAAAGAGACCACGGGCATAGGAGTAAGACAGACTCGAGTCTGAATACCTGCTCAACCACTTCCCAGCCTTGGGTGGGTCATTTATCACTTCTTAGCTTTGTTGTCTCATCAGTAAAATGAGGATATGCACTAGCGAAATTGGCTAAGTATGCACAGTGCCCAGCACCATGCTGGCACATTCACCTTGCAGGGTGGTTAGGAGGATTATGAGTCCTAAGGGACTGGTAAATAAAAGGTACTCAAAAATAGTAGCGAAAAAGAAAAATTATGGTGATGATAGTAATGAAGGTATTTACTGTATTTCACTTAATATATTAAAAAAGACAGTGTTGCTTAGTGGAACAAGCCTGCATCAGAGAGAGGGCAAGCATTTGAAGTCAGACAGGCCAGGGCTTGAACAAACTCCGACTGGGACACGGGCTAGCTATATCATTTGAGACGAGTTATTTTACCTCCTTGACTTCAGTTTCCTCTTATTTAAAATTGATATAATAATTTCTACTTCATAAGGTTACTGCAAAGACTAACTGGCCTAAGATATGCCAGATGCCCAGCTCAGGGCCAGATGTGGAAGGGACTAGCAATGTTGCTTTCTTTCCCTTCATAATAAAGTATCACAGTAAAGATATTGATTTTGATGGCTGGCTTTACAGGCAAGATGTGTCCACCTCTTAAAGCGTTCAACTCTTGATGTGTCCAAACTCTTAAAAATCTAATGTGTGAGTGATAATACCTCAGTGACGCAATAGTCATGACATTAAAGGAAATCAAGTTTGAGGCCGCCGACATGATTTTTGTTGTGGTTATTTATCACAAGATATCTTCTGCAATACTGTAGGGTATTGTTATTCACAAAAATAGGTAAAAGGAATCTGTGTTGGCCTATCAATATAGAGACAAGTCAGTTGTGAGCCGGAGATATTCCTTTTTTTGTTTTTGTTATGAGTGATTTATATACGTGAGTAAATTTCCATAAATACATACTGAGAAATTTGTGTGTGTTTGGAAAAGAGATTTGCCAGAGGTGTTTGGAAAGACAGTTGTACGTATATAAATACTTTTATAAAAGACGTTTCAGAAAATATAGCAGAGTTCTTACAGTGATGTTTGTATTTTATTCACAACTGTTACTTTGTTGCAGTTTACATGAAACACTACTGGGCATGCAAGCATTTGTGATTTTTTTTTTGTTACAGTATATTATGAAAAATGTAATAGATTAAATATTTCCCAAAAGGCCAGAACATTCCAGGACACTGTGTTCCACAAGTTAGGTTAACTTGACAAAATGCAAATTGCTTCGTGAGCAAGTAACTTCCCTGTAGCAAATGCCTTGACCAAGTTAACCCATCACTACCCTTTTATAATCCCTAGAACAGTTTCCCTCACAGTTGAGATGTTTGAGATTTTTCTTTTCAGATTCTTTTTCCTATAACTGATAAGAATTAATCTAGATTATTTTGCAAGATGAAACATCCGGAAAGGAATAAATGAATTAGTTTTCACACTTATTGAGACTAAAGGTTCTGGCATTTACCACCATCAAATATTTAATATATTTGCTTAAATATTTGAATTCAAACTCAGCTTAGAACAGGAAACAATTTTTAAAATCATATTGCTGGGGCCAGCCCGGTGGCGTAGAGGTTAAATTCACACATTCCACTTCAGTGGCCTGGGGTTCATCGGTTCCGATCCTGGGCACAGACCTACTCACCGCTCATCAGACCATGCTGAGGTGGCATCTCACATAGAACAGCTACAACTCGACAACTACGATACACAACTACGTCCCGGGGCTTTGGGGAGAAAAAAAAGAGGAAGATTGGCAACAGATGTTCTGCAGGGCCAATCTCCCCGCCCCCCCCAAAAAAATTCTACTGCTTTCAACTTAAAAAAAAAATCATATTGCTAATTTTGACAAAAAAAAAAAACACACTCCTAGAGTATTTGGGGAAATTTGTTTAGACCTTACATAACCTTTCATAACAAAATTAATTCAAAGACAGTGTGATTCTTTTAACACCTAAGTCAGATGATGTCTCTCCTCTATTCAAGGCTTCCAGTGGCTTCCCATCTCACCCAGAGTAAAGATCAATCCTTACAAAAGCAATGTAGGCCCTGGGAGATCTGCTTCCCACCCCGCTCACCTGACTTCAGTCCTACCGCTGTCCTCTCATCCAGCGCGCTCCAGCCACCCGCCCCTTTGCTGTCCCCTGAATGCGCCAAGCAGGCTTCTGCCTTAGCGTGTTTGCACTTGCCCTTTGCTCTGCCTGGAATAGTCTTGCCTCAGTTGTATGAACAGCTTGTTCCCTCGTCCCCTTCAGGCTTCTGACCCAAAATACCCACAACGAAGCCTTTCTGCCAACCTTGTTTCAAATAGTAATTCCCTCATTGCTGGCATCCCATTTCCTCACTATCTTGCTCTACTGTTCTCCCTAGCACGTATCACCATCTGATAAACTATTGACTCATTTGGTTTTTGTTCATTATCTGTCTCCCTCCTCTACTTTGCTAGAATGTAAGCTCCGTGTAGATGGCATCGTGCCTTTTTTGATCACTGTTGTTTCCCCAGAGGCTAGAACAGTGTCTCATACACAGTAGATGCTCAATAAGTATTTGTTGAATGGCAGAGCATGTTTATCAGGAAAGTATTCAAGCCTCTTAGACAGGGCTGCCACATATGGCTGTACAGGGGCGCACTAGGGGTGCATTTCTCATCATAGTCTATGTGATCAGCACCCCCCTGGAGCTGTGCAGTGCACAACCTGTGCAGCCATATGCTATGGCCGTATTCTCAAAATCCCAATAGATTTCAAAATCAGGGAGCTCTGTGCAGGAA